AAGACTGTTGGGATGATGGTAAAGCTGGACGCCGTTTGTAATGACCCGACTGGTCATTTTGTATTTTCGAACCTCGTTCCCTTAAATAATACTTTCCGCACTTGCTTTAGCTAATTTATGACTTGCGGGGACGGGTGGTTCGGAAGTTAGAAGAGTTTTGAGCAAGAATAAGCCTAGTTGCTTCTTTAAGTTTCTTCAAAAAGGCTAAGTTTGACTTCGGTCAACATTTTGGGGAAACGGACCCGGAATCGTGATTTGACAATTTCTGAGGGTCCGTGGGGAAATATGGGACCTGGGCGTATGCCCGGAATCGAATTCCGAGGTCCCTAGGCCGAGTAATGAATTTTTATATGAAATTGTTAAGTTTAAGTTTCTAAGATTTAAATAAACTAAGAAATTATTGTTTTCCTAGGTATCGGGTTTGAATTTCGAATCCGAAACTTGGTACAAGTCCGAAGTATCAGTTAAGACTTACGTGTAAAATTTGGTGTCAATCCGAGTGGTTTAAGGGCGTTTTGACCCGTTAGGAGGAAATTTAGAACTTGAAGGTTCAATGATTTGAATCGTTTGGTTTTGGGGTTGATTCCCTGATTTAGCGTTGTTTTAAACGTTTCGAGGGCTCGAGTAGGTCCGCCTCGTAATTTCAGACTTGTCGGTATGTTCGGGCGGGGCCCGGGAGCCCCGAGCGTCAAATGGTCGAGGTTCGAGTGAAGTTGAAAACTTAGGAAAAACCTTATCTGCTGCTTCTGTCATAACCGCTTCTGCGGCTCTTGGACCGCAGAAGCGAGACCGCAGAAGCAATCGTTTTATCGCAGAAGCGGAAGGGGCCAGGCCCAGGGGAAACCGCAGAAGTAGACCCTGACCGCAGAAGCGGTCCATCCGCCCAGGCCCAGAACCGCAGAAGCGGTGGGCTTTCCGCTTAAGTGGCCTCGTAGAAGCGAGGTTATGACCGCAGAAGCGGCCCAGGCCCCCTTGCCCATTTCCGCAAAAGCGGCTCATGTCTGCAGAAGCGGGATTCCTTCCGCAGAAGCGGAAATCACTGGGGCAGAAGGGTTCATTAATACAAACCCAAACTCATTTCTTCCACATTGCTCTCAACACTTAGGCGATTTTGGTGATTCCAAAGAGGAGGCTTCAACATAACATTGCAAGTTTGGGATTGTTCGGCTTCGAATTAAGGACTTGGGCTCGTTCTTGGACATTGGGAGTGCACTTTGGAGTGAGGTGAGTCTCCTTTCTAACCTTGTAAGAGGGAATTGTCCCCATAGAATTTTAAATGAGTAATTGTTGCTAAATGCGGGGGCTACATACGTACTAGGTGACGAGAGTCCGTGCGTAGCTACTATATGATAATTGTTCGGGTAGTTTAGGACCCACGTCATGTCTAATTGGGGAATATCTCTTATTTTAATTGCCAATATGATCATTTTGATTTGCTAGAGACTTGAGGAAATGAAAGGTGAACGTAAGAGTTGTTGAGCCTTGGTAGGAATTTCCTTGTATGTAATTGAGCCATATGTGCTTTTCTTGATATTTTCTTGATGATTATGGATCGGGCCGATCTCCTCGGTGATAATAGATGCATCTATGGTTCATGCCGCTCGACCCTCGGCAGTGCACAATTTATTTTCTGTTGGAGCGGGCCATCGACCTTGGCATGATTGTGTATGATTTATATGCTTACATTTAGATATGACATGATCACTTGTTTAATATGAAAAAGGGAAGACTGGTAGTTTAATTATGTCAAGAACATGAATATGACTTTTCTCTTAAACTTGTGTTATTGGAAATTCTTCATGCTGTATATCTCACTTTATTATTATATTATCTTGACCTTAGTAAGTATCAAGTCGACCTCTCGTCTCTACTTCTTCGAGATTAGACGGGATACTTACTTAGTACATGTGGTTTATGTACTCATACTACGCTTCTGTACTTAAATGTACAGGATTTGAGGCAGGTGGATCTGGACATCATCCTGGTGCGCATCAGTGAGCACGCTTGGGGACTTCTACTGTGAGCTGCTTCTCTTTCATGCCGATCCGCAGCCGAAGAAGTCCTTTCTTGTACTTTTTTTTTTGTTTCTGTCTATTCTGATTCAGACAGTAGGATAGTGTATTATTCTTTTGTGTATATTCTACTAGTCGCCCGTAGCTTGTGACACCAGGTTCTGGCACACACAGTAGTAGACATTTATTTTGGGGTTGTATCGCTATTTTAGCACTTTATGATCTTTACTGGTCTTATCTTTAAATTTGAAAATCTAGTATAACTGTCTTTGGCTAAAGTAAAATGAGAACTTAATCACATTCCGCATCGGCTGGCCTGACAACGGTGTTAGGCGCCATCATGACTTATTATAGAAAATGGGTCGTGACACTGCTACTGGATGTGTATGAACAAGTTTTATAGGGTTCTCGACGAACCTGTTTGCAATTTTGAGGTATGGATGGATGAACCCTGTCAGCAGGAATACTACAAACAAAAGTTGCAGTATCTTCATTATTTGACATTAAAACAGTGGGAATATGAACGACAATACAAACGAGAAGTTGCAGAGTTGAAGGAGAAACTCAAAAAGGCGGAAGAAGAAAAAATAAGCTGGAAGAAAAATTGAAAGGGTTGGATTAGAGAATACTACGCGGTGGTGACTAAACAATGACATGTATGTGTTGAGCGTAGTAGTGTATCTTTATGTTTTCTGTGTCATGTGTTTTCAGTTGTACTGAATTTAAGTTATGCTAAGTTTCTATGTTTGTGTTTGTGTTGTAATGTTAAAATAAAGAAGAAATGGGGTAATAAACACATAATGCGCATATTATGTAACCATAAAAAATTGTTTTTATTATTTACACAAAATACAAAAAAAGAAAATCAATGTGTCCCGCAGCCTGTGTGCTTCAATGCAGCCGCTGGCCTGAGGCGCATCCCCTCCTGCACAGGTACACTATCAGGATCATCCTCATCACGTCGCCTCTTTATATGAGGATGCGCTGCAGCATGATCGTCAATAGGGCTGGCGGGATCGGTAGAAGGGGTCATCGGTCCATCAGCAACCTACAAACAATAAGTAAGCTCAGTATATGAAAATATATATTAGTAATGTACGTGTTAAGTCAAAAATATTTTCTTACCATGATCTCGTTGGGCTCCTGAATATAAGCATCCGTGGTGTCCTGCTCAGCATCGCACAAAGTGGCCTCCATGATGGGCTGGGACGAAGCCTTAATAAGAAAATTATAAAGTTATTTATGGCGAATCAATGAGATAACAACAAATTAAAATTTAATAGTAATACAAACATACCTGCACCTATGATAGATCCACAGCACCCATCGACGAAGAGCCAAAACTCAGCCGACGCCCACCATCTACATCTCGGGTTGGCCAATCCTCAGCTGCGGTCGATGGGCCTGAAAAGAAATGCTCCCAATATCCGGTGAAGCTCGTGCCCGTGATCAACAATGGATCTGATGGGGTCACCTGCGATGCTGGCAGCTCCAGCTGAAGGCTGTACGACGACATGCTGCTGGGAGGCTCGTCTGGCTGAGGGATGTAACCCGACAGATCATCTCCAACATCCTCATCAGGTGCCTCAACAGGTGCCTTAACGCCCCCTTGCTGGGGAGCTCCTCCTCGCCGGCCCCCACGACCCCGTGGGGCACCCCTGCCTCGTCCCCTTGGTCATGCTACGGGCCTACCCCTATGGTAGTTCTCTGGCACCATATAAGCAGGGATGTGCTCTAAGTGCTCTTCCTCTCTGGCTCGATGCAGTGTTCGGGAAGCCAGCTCCGTAAACTGCCGACTATACTCCTGTAAAGCGACCGCAGGATCACCGGCATGCTGTTGCATCCGCAGTCCCAACGTAGACCAATGGCTGCACAACATGTAAAAATATAAATTACAAAACGCTATGTCACAGTTATAAGTAAGAATACCAAATAACATACTCGTGCCTCGTGCCTCTCGGCGTATGGAACGTACCGACTGCCATCTCGGTGAATGGGGTTTTCGACGAAAAGTCGGGTAACGCCGCGGTACCAAGATAGATACTCATGCTCAGCATCCTCCAGAGTCTGTGGAGGGGGGAATCAGCTCCAATTGTTGGTCCCAAGTAAATATCTGATCCTGTAGCCATTCCAAATATGCGTCGTCCACCCTGTGACGATCATGCCGCTGGTAATGTATGGCCTCCCAGGTGGGCGGTGTCGGTATGAGCTGCAACCTGCCAAACTGGCGAAGTACCCACTCGGCGGCATGATGCTCCGCAATATCAAGGCAGGACAACAGGACGGAAAAGGCCCAAATACCATGGCCGGCAGAGCAACAATCGGGCAAGCCAGCTATCAGCGCGTCGCTGTATGGAGTCCAGATGAACTATTATGGAAGAACACAAAACTTCAGTATACGCAACTTCTGTTTGAAGCAATGACAAGTAAACTTAGATATACATTTACCTGTGCTCCATCCAACAAATCCAATACATCCCTGCACAAGGAGAGATTATGCCGAGCCTCGTACTCGCGCGTATGTCCCCGCCGGCGTACCCACCTCCTAGCTAGAGGGAGCAACTCCGGATCTAATGGTGGTAGAGGTGGATGCAACTGCAGGAACCGCTCCCAGGCCCAAACCTAACATAAAAAGTTGACGTAAAAGTTAAGATATATTTTTACTAGGTATGTTAAAATGAATAGAGTATTCTAATATGTTGTCACCTGTAGTAGCGGCAAGAATCCAGCAACCTCACGCTGGGTGCCCATGCTCACCCGGCACATGCATCTGTATAAGTAGGCGAGAATAGCAAAGCCCCAGCTGTATTGGGGTAAATCATCTAGCCGCTCAAGATGATGAAGAAATCTCAAGCTGACTAGGTTCCCCGAAGTGTTCGGGAACAAGACCTCTCCAAACAACAGGAGTAGCAGCAACCTCGTATACCAGTCAATGTGATCATCCGGTGTAGTGCCATCGATCTGAGGATGCAATGCCTCCAACCACAGTCAAATAGTCATCGACGAAAAATGATCGGTCCCATGCAGTACAGTCTCATCCTCAGGCCGGACACCGGTGAGCCGCTGCAGCAAGTCCAAGAACTGCACACGTGTCATGTCTCTCATGCCCGCCGGCAAAGAAACAAGCAGTCCATCTACGGGCAACCCATATAACACCTCCACGTCCTGCAGTTTGATGGTGGCCTCGCCAATGGGCAGGTGGAATGTGTGCGTCTCCGGTTGCCACCGCTCTATAAGGGCCGTGATCAAAGACCAATCGAGCTGCAGCCGCCTGATCTCAATCATCCTGTAGAAACCCGTGCCCCGCAGGCGCGCGACTACACGGTCATGAAGAACTCTGTCATGCAGAAAGTCCCACATGTCGTCCACTCTCCTGGCGCGGAGAGTATCGGTCAGTAACTCACCCTTCCATATGTGGGCGGACCTATGATCGCCCTGTAACGAGAATAGCGCATCGTTGTAGGGTCCGGGATGAATAGGCGACGCATCCATGTCGTCCATTATAAATTAAACAACATTAATTACATGTTAGTTTTATAATTTTAAATGTTTGTTTGTAAACTAAATATTCACATATGGGTTCCGGGCTCGATATTTGGAGTCCAGTAGCACCAATTTATTCTATGTGTTAGTTTTATTATTTTACATGTTAGTTTGTAAATTAAATATTCACATATGAGTTCCAGGCTCAATAGTTGGAGTCCAATAGCACCAATTTATTATGTGTTAGTTTTATTATTTTACATGTTAGTTTGTAAATTAAATATTTAATTTTTATAATTAAATATTCACATATGGGTTCCAGGCTCCATATTTGGAGCCCAGTAGCACAAATTTATTCTCTGTGTTAGTTTTATTATTTTACATGTTAGTTTGTAAATTAAATATTTAATTTTTATAATTGAATATTCACATATGTGTTCGAGGCTCCATATTTGGAGCCCAGTAGCACCAACTTATTCTATGTGTTAGTTTAATTATTTTACATGTTAGTTTGTAAATTAAATATTTAAGTTTTATAATAAAATATTCACATATGGGTTCCAGACTCCATATTGGGAGCCCAGTAACACCAATTTATTCTATGTGTCAGTTTTATTATTTTACATGTTAGTTTGTAAACTAATTATTTAATTTTTGTAATTAAATATTCACATATGGGTTTCCAGGTTCCACATTGGGAGCCCAGTAGCACCAATTTATTCTATGTGTTAGTTTTATTATTTTACATGTTAGTTTGTAAATTAAATATTTAATTTGTATAATTAAATATTCACATATGGGTTCCAGGCTCCATATTTGGAGCCCAGTAGCACCAATTTATCCTGAATTCTTCTATGTGTTAGTTTTATAATTTTATGTGTTAGTTTTATAATTTTATATGTTTGTTTGTAAATTAAATAATTGGTTTTTATAATTATACAATATTTACTTATTAAAGATTCATATATGGGTTCCAGGCTCGATATTTGCGGTCCAGTAGCACCAAATATATGTTGACTATAATTGGACAAATTTATATTTGTTCTATCAGTTATTTGGCGTATTTTTTAGTATAAGAGATACTTAAACTACAGGGAAACTACGCTAAAAGGCACTACATTTTACTACGCTAAAAGGCGCTACATAATACTACCCTAAAAGGCACTACATTTTACTATGCTAAAAGGCATTATATTTTACTACCCTAAAAGGCACTATATTACTAGTCTTTACTCAAAAAAAAGATTTTAACCACATAAAACACAACAAATACATTGTAATCACAAAAATACATATAAAATAGTAATAATTATTTATTAATATTTTTATTAACAAATAATAACATTTCACAATTATATTCGATTTTTTTACAACATTAATATCTTAGTCCGAATAAAAATAATATACCAATTAAATCGTAAAAAAATACAAAATAACATACAACACATTCAAAACAACTAATATGCATTATTTATACGAGTTTGGACATAAACTAAATCGGAATACCTCAATTTATGTTTTTTGGAAAGTTGAAGATTTAAAATTTTGACTCCGAAACAAGCAACCCACAATAATAGAAGACTTGGCTAGGATGTGGGACCAACAATATCTACTTTTTACGGGATGGGTGGGGTCCACACGAGCTTTGTGTCTTGTTTATGGAGGGGGGCCATTTTTTAAAAAAAAATGAAGAAGAAGAAGAGTGGGCAGAACATGGGGGAAAGGGAAGGGTTTTTGATATTTATTTATATAAAACGCGGTATGTAACCGCGATCTATATAAATCGTGATAACAGACCACGTTTTATATAGCAGTCTTATCAGCTTTATATAAAATGCGGTCTGTGAGAGTGTTTTATATAAATCGCGGTTACATACCGTGTTTTACCTTAACGGTCCAAACGGCCGTTAAGGTAAAATGGGGTACTGTACCGCGTTTTATATAAAAATATTACTCCCTCCGTTCTAATTTATGTGAACCTGTTTGACTGGGTACGGAGTTTAAGAAAAAATGAAGACTTTTATAATTTGTGGTCTTAAACAAATCAAAAAGGTGTCCAGAGTATTTGTGTGGTTATAAATGCTTCTCATTAAGGGTAGAGTTGGAAGTTTAAACTAAATTGTTACCAAATTTAGAAATGGATCATTCTTTTTGGAACGGATCAAAAAGGAAATAGGTTCACATAAACTGAAACAGAGATAGTACTTTTTTTTACACTTAAAATCGTATTTTGAGTCTAAAAAAAATAACATTTAGGTTCCGGACCCCTATGTCTTTGGCAAGCAGCTTTTTCCTTGTCAGGGAAAAAAATAAAACGCATAGGACTATATATAGTACACGCTCAGGCAAGAGAGTATCCGAGGCTAGTCAACGGCTCTTACCAGTTACCACCACTATAAAACTGAGAAAAGACCAAACAAATTGAAGGATTGTTTACCACGTACAGTTGAACGTGTAAATGAATAAACGAAAGACATATCACTCCCATTTGGTATGGCAGAAGTGATGATAGGTGATAATAGGTAAATTAGACTATAATTAGGCCCTAAAGAACCACATTTTTGTATGGCTTTTACGGAAAAAAGTGATAATAAAATGCTCTGATTAGTGCTTTTCATGCTTTGCAGGCTATATCCAATAAAAGAAGTCTGTGGAGTACTTTTGGGATCAATTACGGAGAAAAGGAGGCCAATCATACAATATCCACAAAGTGCACCAAGCTAAGGGACAAAACCAGAACTGAAGCTGGTCTGCCGCTGTCCGGGCGTAACCGCGGTAGGACCGCGGCAGAACACTGCTGCAGATTCCGAAGGCCACTCTGGCCGCGGTCCTGGCGTAACCGCGGTAGGACTGCGGCAGGACGCATAAACTTCAGGGACGAAAGTGTAAAACACGGGATTTTAAGCCCTAAACCCTATATTAAACGAAGGAAGCCGGCCAAGAAAGAGGAGGACGCCACTTTGGAGTAAAAACACACACGGGATCGTGAGGAAGTGGAGAATTCTCAGTTTTCTTCATCTTTTTCTAGTATTTTCAATTGATTCAACAGTCATGCAATTGTTTGATTACATCATGAGTGGCTAAACACCCATTGTTCTGGGGTTGTGAGTTAGCCATGAATATTGTTGTTTGATATTAGCTTGACCTTGATTATAATTCACCAATATATGGTTGTTTCTTCAATTCTGTGTTTAATTGCTTAATTGTCTGGCCAACAGTTAGGTTCTATTTACTATCTATGCTATGCTTGGGAAAGCCATGTTTAGATTAGAGAAGAATTGAAGAGAGCATGATCTTAACCCTTAGGGGGAGCGGATTTGTGGTTAGGATAGGAATATACCTAGTCACCGTGCTTAATTAAATATCGTAATCTTAATGCGTTCTTAATAGATTGATTTCATAGGAATATAGGCGTTAATCTATTGAGAATAGGTGAGTAGTACTTCAGGAGAAGGCAATGAGAGCATTTATCGATTAATTAGCAATCATGGGTGAATTATATGAAAGGGAGAGTTAATTAGAACACAATACGAATGGTGAATCGATCAGAACCCTGGAATACTTGTCTCTACTGAATACACAACAATCAATTCGTTACTTGATAATTTAGTATTACTTAGAATCGTAGTATAGTATAATCATATTATTGGACTCTGATTTTAGCTGGACTGAATAACAATTTTAGTATTCCGTGAGTAGTTTACACAAGTCTCTGTGGGTTCGACACTCAACTTATCATTATATTACTTGTCGACCACGTATACTTGCGTGTGCGTTTGGGAGCAACAAGTTTTTGGCGCCGTTGCCGGGGACTTGAATATTAACTACTTGCTAGTTTTTGCTTTAATTGCTTATTTCGTCTAGTCTAACGTTACTTGATTGTTGCTGAGATCTCAAGAACTTTGATTGGATGCGTAGGGTCAGAAGCCAGGACAGACTTCAAGGCTTTGATCCTGAACCTGAGAGAACATTTCACAGGAGGTTGAGGGAAGCAAGGGACACGAATAATATTCAGGCACTTGTTCAATTTCCTGTGAACATGGCAGAGGAGCAACCTATGGCTGTTCAGGAGGTGGTAATGCCCAGCATTGCTAATGTCACCTCCAGTATCGTAAAGCCCAGGATCACTGGGCATTTTGAGCTAAAACAGAGCATGATCCAGTTACTTCATGCGAACAGGCAATTTATGGGTCTTCCACATGAGGATCCGCAGCAGCACATTCTGAACTTCTTGGAGATTAGTGATACTTATATCACTAACGGGGTCACTCCAGATTATGTGAGGCTCACACTTTTTCCATTCTCTCTATTGGGTGAGGCTAAGCGATGGCTAAAGGCAGAACCAGCTAACTCCATTACAACATCAAATGATTTGGCGAGAAAATTTCTAGCAAGGTTCTTCTTCAGGCAAAACTGCAAAGATCAGAAGTGAAATAGTGGCCTTCAAACAGAAAACAGGTGANCAAATTCTCCAAGAGCAATACGGATTGGCAAGGAGAGATGGGCAGGCACACAGTGCAAAAATCTGTAGGGGTTCTTGAGTTAGATGTCGTCTCAACATTATCAGCGCAGATTGCTACACTGGCCAATCAAGTGAACCAACTGAATTTGAGTATCAACAAGCAGCAAACACAACCGGTACAATAGGTTCAGGCTTTTTGTGAAATATGTGGAGAAGGGCACACGAGCGACATATGCCCCGCAAACCTAGAGTCTGTCTGCTTTGTGGGTAATTCAAACAGGGGCCAAACAAACCAATATGGGAACACTTACAATCCCAACTGGAGGAACCACCCAAATTTCTCTTGGGGTGGAAACCAGGGCACTCAGAATCAATACATGCCTCAAGCACCTCAACAACAATATAGACCACCTCAGGTTGAACAACAAGCGAATCCTACAAGTCACCTTGAAGACATGTTAAAAAAGGTGATGGCTGAACAACAATCTCTCTCTCAGAAAGTGATGGCTGAACAGCAAGCCCTCGCCACAACAGTGAGAAATTTGGA